TTGATTTGGCCTTATTTTCTCACAGTCCCCTTTTCCACACCTGACAGCTCCAGCCATAATGAACGTCCACTGTTCTCTGAGCAACCTTTGCTATTTACTGCATGTCCCTAGGCCTTTATTTACTTTCCTCTGTCTAAGATGCATTTATTTCCTCTTGTAGTCCTCCAGTAAGTGACACCCAGCTGAAGTGCCCTCTCTTCATGAGGCTTTTCTTGACCTCCCTCTGGTCCTCCATCACTACAAGAAGTAGACTTGATACTCCCCTGCAGTGAGATGCAGTTCTGGACTGCCATTCATGGAATGGGCAAGAACCTTCTTTTCTCCAGGCCTTCATCCCATGCTTCTAATAAAGTACTTGGCATGTGGTAGGTACGTCACTATCAATTACATTAACCAGTGACCTATACAATTTGTCAACAATCTTTTTTTAAAGATATTATTTATTATTATTATTATTATCGATCCTTACCCAAGGACATTCTTACATTAATCTTCAGACAGAGCTGGAGGGAGAGAGGAAGGAAGAGAGAGAGAGAAACATTCATGTGAGAGAGACACATCGATTGTCTGCCACCCACACAACCCCAACTGAGGCCAGGGACAAACCGCAACCAAGGTACATGCCCTTGGCCAGAATCAAACCTGGGACTCTTCGGTCCACGGGCAATGCTCTTACCGCTGAGCTGCACCGGCCAGGGCCAATTTGTCAACAATCTTTCTAATCTATTTTCTCACTGCTCTACAGATGAGCCCATTGTTCTACTGACTACTTTTCAAACTTGTGTAAGAATTCTAAATTCCCTTTCTTCCCAACCTGAAATCCTAGTCCATCTCTTCCTCAATTTGTATCCATCAAAGTCCTGTTTCCCTTTAAGAAATCTTTCTTGACCTCATTCATCTTCAAACTTCTATGACATAAATCTTTATATCCACCACAACTCCTACTATAATACTAGATACATAAAAGGACTGTCATCTAAAATGATTATACAGAGGTGAACAAAGAAGGTATAGCTCGCTCGCTCTCTCTCTCTCTCTCTCTGACCATTCGTTTGCATTCTCTCTCACCCAGGAGCATGATGTACGTCTAGCAGCAATTGGAGCCACAGACTCCAAAAAACAAAGCTTTAAAAAAAAAAAAAAAAAAATATATATATATATATATATATATATTTTCATTGATTTTTTTTGAGAAGGGAGAGATAGAAACATCAATCAGCTGCCTCCTGCACGTCCCCTACTGGAGATCGAGCCCACAACCTGAACATGTGCCCTGACTGGGAATTGAACCAGGACCTCTCAGTCCATGGGACGACACTCAATCCACTGAGCCACATGGGCAGCCACTAAGCTTTAATATAAAATAGAAACTCTGGACACTGACCCTTGTTTTGGCCTTGCTGAAGACACAGCTGAATGTCTTACCTGGCATGATGGACAGAGATGGGACATTGAGAACCCAGGAGGGAAACTTCTTTGGTTTTGAATCATAAATAAATCATCTTGCCACACCAAAAAAATAAATAAATAAAATTTAAAAAACATCACACAATTATGTGAAAAAATAATCTTTGCTTAAAAATACTGACTGAAAACAAATTTATCAAAATGTAAATAAGTGGTGGTTTGGATTTTTCTTCTTTCCTCCATTTCTCTTAGTGAATGGATTTAAAAATTTTCATTATAAAGGTATTAGAACACCTGTATGCCCATTTAATAATTTTTTTTTTTTTTTTATCCTCACCTGAGGACATTTTTCCATTTTTTGTTCGGTAGAGTGGGAGGGGGAGAGAGGAAGAGAGAGAGAAACATCGATGTGAAAGGGACACACCGAGTGGCTGCCACCCGCACGACCAACCAGGGCCGGGGACAAACTGCAACCGAGGTACATGCCCTTAGCGGGAACCGAACCTGGGTCTCTCAGGACCGCAGGCCGACGCTCTAATCGCTGAGCCAAACCGGCCAGGGCCCATTTAATAAATTACTCTTTGTCTCCACCGTACTGAAAAATCGTTATATGGAAAAACTTCAAGGATACCCCCACCAAAACACACATGCAAAATGGGAGGCAGTGTATGGTAGTGAAGGGCCCAGTTCCTGAAGTCACACTACTTAAGCTTAAAAATCAGTTTTGCCACTTGCTAGCTGTCTAACCTCAAGCAAAGTATTGAATTTTTGTGCCCCAGTGTCCTTATTAATATATATCACAGGGTCATTGTGAAAATAACAATAATCTACATGAAGTGATCAGAATACTCGGTTTATGGCAACACTCAGATGTCAGCTACTAGCAGCAACAGTCGAAAATGGAATTGCTACTAACACCCCTGTACTTGCAAACAGGAGAGCTGGTATTCAAAATTAAATGACCGTCACTGCACTTCAGTGACATATCTCAGTAAGTGGAACTTGTCAATTATGCATGTTATGATATATCTGTACTGCATGCTACCGAAACTGCATTTAATTTGGCTCCAAATTTAATTACACGCATCTCTCTCGAGTCTACCCATGAACATGGTCTCAAAATCTAACACGAACCAAGAGTTTCCAACCGAAAAGGGGTCAGTTCTGTTTCTCTAACTGTCCGGGCTTGTTTTCTAAAATAGGTTTTTTCAGGTTAAATGTTCTCCAGAAACCTAGAGGACAGAATGAAGATGGGTAATTAGACGACTTGCAGTTATGTCTTGGCTTTATTACAAATTCAACCAGCTGCCTTTCAGACAGTCAGATTTAGAGACATTTGTTCCCGCAAACATAAAATGGGAAGAACTGTTTGCTTTATTTCAAGATAGTGTAAGAACCACACACCACTCACATATCTCAGGGAAGAGTTTAATACTAATCCAGACATTGGTATCCAGTGCTATCCTTCTCACATGGTAAAATGTAGAAGGCCTACCTTCTCTCCTTCCTCTTCCTATTTGCTTTCTCCTCTTTATTCCCACAGTTACTTCCTAATCAGAGAGACTTTGAATATGAATCAAATTAAAGTGTAAAGAAAAGGTACCAAAACATCACCATTTTATACAGCAAAGTACTACTAAGTGCATGTGATGGTTAATTTTATGTGTCAACTTGACTGGACCATCAGGTCCCAGATACTTGGTCAAACATTATTCTGGGTGTTTCTGTGAGGGTTGTTTCGGATGAGATTAACACTTAAACAGTAGTCTGAGTAAAACAGATTGCTTTCAGCAATGTGGGTGGATCTCATCCAATCTGTTGAAGGCCTAAATAGAATAAAAGGTTGACCCTCCATTGCCTGGCCGGTGGCTCAGTGGATTGAGGTCGCCCCACGGACTGAGAGGTCCTGGTTAGATTCCTGGTCAGGGCACATGCCTAGGTTTTGGGCTTAATTCCCAGTGTGGGGCGTGCAGGTGGTAGCCAGCTGATGTTTCACTTTCACAACAATGTTTCCCTCTCTCTCTCTTCCTCTCTCTCTAAAAATCAATTTAAAAAAAATCTTAAAAACAGACAGACAAATAAGCAAACAAACTACTGAAGGCTTGGCTCTCATTCTCTTTCTAGTATTTGGACTCTGATCTCTCTCTTAGGACAGTGGTTTTTAAAGTCTGGTGTGCATCAGAATTACCTAGAGAGCTAGCAGAAGCCCAGAATCATTTAAACAGGAAAGGCTGGGTCTCAGCATCTTTACCAAGTTTTCCAGCAATGGTTTTCAAACCAGGCTGATCAGAGTCACCTGGGAAGATTTGACAAAATAACAAATTCCCAGGCTTCACCCCTGGAAATTTTGATGCAGTAGGTTTGAGGTTGGGACCCAGAAATCTTAAAACATTTTTTTTTTTTTTTTTATCCTCACCTGAGGATATTTTTCCATGTTTTGTACAGATAGAGTGGGAGGGAGAGAGAGGAAGGGAGAGAGAGAGAAACATCGACGTGAAAGGGACACATCGAGTGGTTGCCACCCGCACGACCAACCAGGGCCGGGGACAAACTGCAACCGAAGTACGTGCCCTTAGCGGGAACCGAACCCGGGTCTCTCCAGACCGCAGGCCGACGCTCTAACCGCTGAGCCAAACTGGCCAGGGCGAAATCTTAAAACATTTTTAAAAATTTTAACAAATATCCCAGGTAGATCTGACCAGCCAGAATTGGGAACCACTGACTTAGGACACTTAATTAGATAAGTGTCTCTCAAAGAATTCCAGGTCTCTGTGTTCACTAAGAATATTCACAACTCTGGGTAGGTTATAAATCACCATCCTATGAGAATTTAACAAACGAAACGGTCTAAAAACCTTACCAATTCAGAACTTAAATTAGCTAATGATTTCCTGTCTATCTACTCCCACCCCCAGGCAAAGATCTGTAGCTGTTCAGCGCTAGCCACCCAAATAGCTCATAAGCAAGTTGTTCCGCAGGATTTTGTTCTATTAACCTTTCCCTGTTCCTCCACTCAGATTCCCAGAACCTCGGGGAACAGATAACTGCACCACTTGCAACATCAACCCAGAAACCTGCAAACCCCGCCCCTACCCTACTGGAAGGGAACACCCTAATGTGAGAAGTCATTTCTGTGCGGAAAGAAATGCTCTCATACACAAGATAGACAGTTTAAAAGCTTGGCTGTTCTTTTCTTAGAGAGGGAGGAAGGGGGGTGTGGGAGAGAGAGACATTAACTGGTTGCCTCCTGCTGGCACCCCAAGCAGGGACTGAACTCAAAACCTGGCATATGCCCGAACCAGGAACTGAACCCAGACTTTCCAGTACCTGAGGCAACACTCCAACCAACTGAGCCATACTAGCCAGGGCAAGCTTGACTGTTCTCGAAGCCAAGACAAGAGACAGCTAGCTAATTATGACTTTATTTTATTATTATTTTTTAATCCTCATCCGAGGCTATTTTTCCATTTATCATCAGATAGAATGAGAGGAAGGGAGAGAGAGAAACACCAAATTGAGAGAGACACATCAACTGGTTGCCTCCTGCATCACCCGACCAGGTCCGGGGACGAACTGCAACCAAGGTACGTGCCTTTGACCAGAATCAAACCAGTGACTCATTGGTCTGCGGGCTGATGCTCTAACCGCTGAGCCAAACCAGCCAGGGCAACTAATTATGACTTTAGAAGCTTCAAAAATATAGTGATTTGGGTCACCTTCAGTAGCCCAAAACCCAAAGATATCAAGACCCACTCCCGCATTTCGGAATCAGATGTTTAAATTCAAAATCCAAGACAAAAGTCATGACCTATGAGGAATTTGGGAAATGACCCTTGATCTCATTTTCCTCTCAATCTGAAGTCATAGCAGATTGATATCTCAACATACATCAGTGGGAAAAATAGGCTCAAAAGCAGTTGAGAGTTATGATCCTTAAAACACAGATACTGATTTGTAATCCTTCCCACAAAATCCCAGATCACAAATTGAGCGATGAGATGATTTTTCTTATACAAAACTCACTAACTGTACAGATGATGTGTTGTAGAATTATGCACCTGAAACCTGTATAATTTTGTTAACCAGTGTCACCCCAATAAATTCAATAAAAACGGGGGGGGGGCACTAACAGGTCTACATGAGCCAGCAGCAAGTGAGACCCAAGTTGCAAGAAATGCACGTGGGTCCCAGTGTCTCTTCTTAGTAAGGATGGCCCTCCTTGCTGGACAGTCAGCAGAATGCAGCTCAGACGTACTTAATAAAACCACTGGGTGGACAACCAAGGGGAAGGGATTAAAACCTGGAGAGCAAACACTACTTAGCAGCAGCCCCAGCTGGAGGTGGGCCGGGTTTGTAGGTTGATGTAGTCCCCTTGGGTGGACAAAGACATATCTTCTCTAGAATTGCTCATCATCTTTTCAATGAGGACTCTAAAAAACAAATAAAAAATAAGTCTGAAAAGCTGGACTGAGGAAAGGGAGAAACAGCAGATATTGTCTGTCTAAACACCAGATGGCATTCAGTAAAGCTGCATGGTTCGTCCCCAGTTAATCTCAGGAGAGAGGACAGCATCCCTGACCTTCAGAAGCTGGCATTCCAGTGGCTCAGTCTGTTCTTATTTGCTCAGAAACAGGAAAACAAGGTACTACGGGGTTGCAGTGGAAGACGGGTATATCTGTGTGCCCATAAGCTACTCACCTCATGGCCTCATTAATGTTTTTGTTTTCCTTGACTGATGTCTCTGTCCAACCTGTGAAACCATTCTCCTTACTGAAACGGTCAACCTTGTCTCGGCTCACTGCCCAAGGAGACAGATCACACTGGCAAAGAGAGTAAATAAAAGGCAACACCATAAACTTCTAAGGAATAGATATCTATGGATTTAAAATCTTTCCACCAATGACTGAGAACAGTAGCATCTAAAATCTATATTCAACATTCTTCCCAAAGAAAGTCTCAACATCCCTTGAAAGGAGGTAGAGATAATTTTGCCAACTTGAAAGGGAAAGTGGATAACATGAACTGAAGAGCATTTTTTATTTAAATCTCACCCAAGGATATTTTTCCATTGATTTTCAAATAGAGTGGGAAGGAGGAAGAGATGGAGGAAAGGAGGGAGGGAGGGAGAGAGGGAGAGAAGGAGAGTGAGAGAGAGAGAGAAACATCGATGTGAGAGAGACACATCGATTGGTTGCCTCTCACAGGACCCTGGCCAGGGCTGCGGATAGAACCTGCAACTGAGGTATGAGGGATGTGCCCTTGACCAGGGATCGAACCTGACTCTTTGGTCCAAGGGCCAACACTCCAACCACTGAGCCAAACCAGCCTGGGCCCAGAGAGAAATTTATTTATTTATTTTTTAACATATGTTTTTATTGAATTTTTAGAGAGGAAGGGAGAGAGAAATAGAAACATCAATGTGAGAGAGAAACACGGAGCAGCTGCCTCCTGCATGCCCTCTACTGGGGATTGAGCCTGAAACCTGGGCATCTGCCCTGACGGGGAATTGAACCACGACCTCTCAGACCATGGAATGATGCTCAGTCCACTGAGTCACAACCGGCTGGGCCTGAAGAGCATTTTAGATGGCTTGCTCTCTCACCACAGATTGAGGCCAGGGGCCATTTTCCTAGATTGTCCATGTACCTTATTGGCCAAGAGCAGGCAGGGCACAGGTTCTCCATTGGGTAGTGTGAGCTTGCTGTCCAGGTCCTGTTTCCATCTCTGGCTGTTGCTGAAGGTAGTGGCATTGGTAACATCAAACATAATAACACAGGCAGAGGCATCTCGATAGTATAGTCGTGTCATAGATGTGAAGCGCTCCTGACCTGGGAGGAGAGGAGAGTTCTCTAGAAGGTGATCCTGAGAACCAGCCCCAGAACACCTGCTAACACCCTGCTATTTCTACCGTCATTGTGGGAGAGAAGGCAGTATGCATGGTGGTTGAGTTCAGATTTTTATCCAGACTATCCAAGTCCAAAACCCTGCTCTGTCATTTATTACCTATGTGACTTTGGACAAGTCAAGCCTTTAATGGCTAAATATTTCCCATCTGTAAAGTGGGGACAGAAGCAGTAGCTTTATCATAGGATGGCTGCCAGGACAGAGTCAGCTAATCTAAAATGTTTAGAAAACTGCTTGACACATCATAGCAATTACTATTGTCTCTGTTTTCTGGGTATCTAGTTTCTCACCAAGATTTGCTGAACACCTGGAAAAAGAACCCTCCCCCTGCTGTGGGAGCATCCAACCTATGGCCTGGACAATCCACCACCTTGCCAGCCCCTCCACCCACACAGAGACTACTTTACATTAATCAGGGCAAGGTATCTGCAGAAAACATCTACAAAAGTTCTACGTCTAGTTAGCTCATGCATCCTCAGAGCAGCTCAATCACTGCAGCTTTAGAAAAGCACTTGTGGTTTTACAGCCCCGCTTTTTTTCTGAGAGCTGGCTGGTTAAGCCAAAATTTCTCCCTTAGTTCCTATACAGTCTTCCCAGCCTACCTGCAATATCCCACAGCTGGAGCCTCACCACCTCCGAGTCAGACCACTGGAGAACCTTCAGAGCAAAATCCACTGAAAATAGATGTATAATATAGTTGAATACAATTTACATTTATTTATTTATTTAGTTTTGGTATGTGCCTCTAGCGGGAACCAAACCGGGACTCTCTGGTCCACAGGCCAATGCTCCAACCGCTGAGCCAATCCCGCCAGGGCTAAAATTTACGTTTAAACAATTCATGGAAAAGCTCAGATCAAATACACAGTTACAACCCTAGGGATACACAATTCCTATTTATTTATTCATTTAATTTTTAAGCCCTCAGTGAGCTGAGATGAGCCTACACTCATGTATTAAGTATGAGACAAATCATTCGTACTCAACCTTAGGAGAAATTCTTTAGCTTTTACTCTCTTGTCAAAGCAATTTATTTGATACTACTTGTCTCCAAGGCTGGAGATAGGAGTGGGGGGTAATCACGAAAACAATTCCTAATCTCAGGTTTAAAAGTCTCGTGGAGATTTAGGGAGTTTTCTCAGGGAAGAGATGACAGGGTACAAGGAAGGGAGAAATGAAGGCTTTTGCCTCTTCCACATTCAATTTCACTCTTGGTTTCTAATCCAATTGTATTATGATAAAAACACACTCTTTGGTGAATTCTACATCTTCCATAAGGCTGTAGGAATTATCTTGGGCAGCAGTGGGGTAGAGTGAAAAGGTCCCGGAGGGTTCCTAGAAAGAAGACACTGCATAAATGAAGCTCAAGAGCTGGGCTGGAATCCACTGCAACATATGCAGGGGCTGAGACCCCATGAGTTCAAGTTCAATGAGTATGCAGGGGAAGAGCTTTTGGATAAGGAGAGAAATAGGATAAATTTTTTAAAAAATCCTCACCTGAGGATATTTTTCCATTAATCTTCAGATAGAGTGGGAGGGAGGGAGAAATGGAGAAAGGAAGGGAGGGAGGGAGAGAGAGAGAGAGAGAAACATCGATGTGAAGGAGACACATTGACCAGTTGCATCCCACATGACCCTGACCAGGGCTGGGGACCCAATTGCAACTGAAGTATGTGCCCTTGACCGGAATCAAATCTGAGCCTCTTTGGTCCGCCAGCCAATGCTCTAACTGCTGAGCCAAATAGGCTAGGGCAGAAATAGGATAATTTTTGAGATTTGGAAATCTGTTTTCCACATCTGTAACAGAAATAAAAGTTAAGGAAAAGTTAGAGTAAACACTGAAAAAAAAATTAGCCAGAGTCACTTACATTCTTTACTAAAGGAACACTAGAGCAATTGCTAAACATTTATTAGGGGGACACTTTTAAACCAAATCCATGAAATAGGGACCCTCAGACTATTTAGGAGTGGGGGTGGGCAGAGTGGTTAGACAACAGTCTTTGAAACTTTAAACCTTTAATTTTGTTCGATGTTCTTAAGGAGGATGTCTTAATTGCAATTGTTAGCTTTTTTTAAGTTTCATAATGAATGCCAACATACAGTTTCAAAATTTACATTGGTGCAAGTTTTTTTTCCTTTAAAAAAAGTTCTTTTAATGGAGATAAATAAATGTTTGTTACTCTCCCCCTTTACTAGCTCTGCCCAGCCAAGCACCTTCTATTTTACATAAAAGTATTTCTACTTCTGAAAAAAAACAGTCCAAAGATCAAACCTAGAAAGAAATGAAGTAACTCTTAAAGTGTTTTCCTCCTGGCCGCTGTGGTTCAGTGGTTGGGGTGTGGGCTGGTGTACAGAAGAGTCCTGGGTTTGATTCCTGGTGGAGGGCAGGTACTTGGGTTGCAGGTTTAATCCCCCCACCAATTATGTGTCTTTCTCACCTGGATGTCTCTCTCTACCCCCCTCCGTCCTCCTCCCCCTTCCCTTCCTCTCTCTAAAAATCAATAGAAAAAAAAAAATCTTCAGATGAGGATTAACAACAGCAGATTAACAACAACAACAACAACAAAAGTGTTCTCTACCTTCCTCCTTAACCCAGTTTGAGAGAAAAAGGGGTGGGAAGCTAGGTCAAAGAAATGGTATATTTCAGATTCTTGAAGAATTCCTAGGTTGCCTTTATTTAAGCAATCAATGGACAGCAAACACACAGTTCATCAGCCCTGATTGATTGTGTGGCCTAGGAGTCTCCCATGCATGCATCCAGCAAACAAAGCTAGGCCAGGTTAAATGCCTTTCTGCCCCTGCAACAGCTTCCCGGAACTCCGTGAGAGGCAGGACGGCAGCCCGGCTGGCACCTCACCAGGCCCTCCACAGGGTCCCAGACGCTGGTCTCAGAGCTTTGCCCACGACCGCTTGAAGGGCATGCACGAAGAGACCCGAGTCCATAGTTCCTCGCGGAACACAGCAATTGCTCATTTTCTGCTCCTCCCTTCCCCATGTCTCATCTTCACACCTTCGCCCTCTCTTTCCAGGCAGTCTGCTCAGGCCAGGAAAGCCTACCTGCGGAAACCCCAAACAGGCACGCAAACCAAACACCCAGCAAGTATTCCCTCAAGGATCCCGGAACCTACTCCCTGACCCGGCGAAGGACCCAACGACACCAGATCCCCAGCTCCCATCCCACTGAGTCCCCAGCTCGAGCCCGTGGTCCCGGCCTCTTGTCCACCCCGCCCCGCCGCGACATCTCACCTCCCACCGTGGATTTGTAGTGTTTGTTGAAGCTGTCCTGGGAATATCTTTGCACCAGGGACGTCTTGCCCACTGCGGGGTCCCCCACCACCAACACTTTGAACAGGTGATCACGGCTACCCATGGCTAGCCGGGTGGACGTTTTAGGAGGCGGGAAGCGGGAGAAGTCGCTGGTTTTAACCCCTTTGGCTCCCGACCCCCTTCAAACTGAAGTTCGGCATTCCGCCCACCGCCTGTTGGGGCTGCTCTGATGAGAAAGGGAAACTGCACTCAGAATTTACGCGCTTCCTCCCCGCGCGGCCGCAGCCTGGGTGGGGCGTGGAGCGCGGGGCGCAGGGCCGGGGCGCGAGCTCCGAGCCCCGGCTGATCGCACCTTCTCCCCCTCCCGGCCCCGCTGCCGAGAAACGGAATGAGGCTTGGAGGTGCCTCCCCGCCGGGACTTCCCCGGAGCGGCTCCAGCAAGCGACTAAACGGGCCAGCTCATTTCCCGGGTTGGGCAGAAGATGGGAGTCCCCCTTCTTCACAGAACAAACCAAACTCTGAGTAGGGAGCGGCTCATACTTTCTCTCCCCAGACCCGGCAGGCGCTGTCGTTCTCGCCTACTCTGCACGGGTCACATGCAGGTTACTTAAAGAACTACACTTCCCAGCTTACCTCGCGGTGAAGATAGCTAGTCCAGTGCGAGACTCGCCCGCGAGGCTTCTTGGGAAGTGTAGTTTATGCGGTATTTTGTTTTTAAAAACTTTAACAGTTTCAAGGTTTTCGAGCTCCTTCAACCTTCGCAATCTTACTTTAAAATAATTCTGGCATAGAAAAGATTCTCAAGAGAGATTTGTTCGACGTGCCTAAATCTGTCCCCAGATAGGTTTCTTCTCATGATCTTTAAAGGCTTCTTGGAGCTAAGATAAAAAATTATCCCATAAATTATTCCACTAACAAAAGCTCAAGCTTCACCCCTCATACTCCAAGCGAAGTCCATTTCCTAGTGTTTCAGTTAGGTAGACAAACCCAGGATCTTGTGAACGTGATGAAAGCCAATCCTTCCATTTCCCTCATGACCCCAATATCAGTCAACTTCAGGGACACAATCAAGAGATTGATCCTTAAAACCCATGCTGGTAATGTAAGTTACTGACATTTAATAACTAGTCACAGCAGTAAAGACAGAAAACAGTTCTCATTTTCACTTCCACAATCCCTAGTCTAGCTGCACTGCCTACTCATATATCATTTGAGCTGGAAGCTAATTGGGATGCACGGGGAATCCTCCTCCATTTGTTGCTATTGCTCATGAATAATAATGAAACTATATTTTTGCAAATATTTTAAATTTTTTAGCCTGTAACTTTTTTGAGCTGCTTGTCCTTTAGGTAAGAGTTAAAGGGATGATGAGCTTTATGGCCAGCAAAATAAGCCCCATTTTTTATGCTTTTCTCAGGAATGGAAGAGAAAGCAGCAGGGCCATGGGAAAACAGCCTTGCCCAGGTTTCCGGGCAGAGAGGCTACCACTTAGGTTCTGTGAAGAAGGAACATGGCATGGTTCACAACTTATTTAGCCCAAAATGTTTGTTACCCAGGTAGGGGAGGTTAGTCTGGGCTACTCCTGTTCCAGGATGTCTCAGACCTCTTTCCAATGGTCTTTTCTCAATTCTCATTGGCTTTGATGTAGTTGACCACTCTTTTAAATTTATTTCTCACATGGCTTCATGACACTGTCCTTTCTTGTTTGCTCTCTATTTTTCTGATGATTATCCTTTTTCCTTCATGGTTTCCTCCCATCCAGGCACCTCCTAAGTAAGTATTTCCTTAGGCTCAATTCTAGGTCCCTGAGCTGATTGTCCTTTAAACTCTGTATTTAATAGATTGCTGTTGGCCTCAAATATCTCTCTGAGTCTTGACTTTATTTATATCTTTATTGCCAATCAATTATGTTCAACTGACATAAAGGTACATCCACTTGAAAGTCCTGCCACAACCTCCCTCTCACTACATCACCACAAAAACCATCCCTTTTCTCAGCTTCCCTATTTCTGTCGCTGGCCTCATTATTTCTTCCCTCCACTCAGGTTTCAGATCTCACGCATTTTTTAAGAATTTATTTTACTGTAGGAGGAACACTTAACATAAGAGCTACACTTTTAACAAATTTTAAAGTGTGCAATATAGATATAATGTTGTATAGCAGTTCTCCAGACTTGATTCATCTTATTTAACTGAAACTTAAGCCCCTTGATTAGTAACTCCCCGTTTTTCCCTACCCAGCTCTTAACAACCACCGTTCCACTCTTTGATTCTATAAGTTTGACCATTTCATTTTTCAAGTTATAAGAGAAAATTTATTTAGAAAGTTACAGAGGTAGTAAAAGTGAGCCACAGAAGAAATGGGCTAAGGAAACAACTTACAGAGACAAGAGAAGGGCCCTTGGAATTTAAGAGAGAGGAAGGCAAAGGTGATTCGCCTGGGGCAGAGAAGAGGAGGAAGGGACAGGCATGGGCGGGCGGGCTAGCAAGAGGGAAGCATGCCAAATCTGACTGTTTTAGATACCACATCTAAGTTGTTTTTCCATGACTTGATTGTTTCACATGGCATAATGTCCTTAAGGTTCAGCCATGTTGTTGTTTATTCCATATATTTTTTTCTTCTTAAATGTTTTTATTGATTTTTTTTAAAAGAGAGAGGAAGGGAGAGGGAGAGAGAGAAACAATGAGAGAGAAACGTCAACATCTACTGGCTGCCTTCTGCATGCCCCCTACTGGGGATCCAGCCCACAACCATGCATGTGCCCAGACTAGGAATCAAACTAGCGACCTCTTGGTGCATGGGACAAAGCTCAGCCACTGAGCCACACCAAATGGGCTGAATATTCCATGTATGCTTTTCTTTATTCATCTGTTGATGGACATTTAGGTTGTTTCCATAGTGCTTACTTGGGAGTGCTAATATTTCTTCAAGATCTGATTTCAATTTTCTTGGACAAATACCCAAAAGTAGGATTGCTGGATCATAAGGTAGTTCTATTTTTAATTTTTTGAGGAAACTCCCTACTGTTTTTCATTGTGGTGACACCATTTTGCATTCCCACCAAGAGTATGCAAGGGTTCTAATTTCTCCACATCCTCACCAACACTTGTCTTTGCTTTTTTTTTTTTTTTTTTATCCTCACCCGAGGATATTTTTCCATTTTTTGTACAGATAGAGAGGGAGGGAGAGAGAGGAAGGGAGAGAGAGAGAGAAACATCGACGTGAAGGGACACATCGAGTGGCTGCCACCCGCACGACCAACCAGGGCCGGGGACAAACTGCAACCGAAGTACGTGCCCTTAGTGGGAACCGAACCTGGGTCTCTCCGGACCGCAGGCCGACGCTCTAACCGCTGAGCCAAACTGGCCAGGGCTCTTTGCTTTTTTGATAATAGCCATCCTAATGGGTGTGAAGTGATATTTCATTGTGGTTTCTGCTTCATATCCAATGCCACTTTGTTAGTTTAGGCTTCCATTATTTCACATCTGGATCATCTTCAATAACCTGTTTCTTGGTCTCCCTGATTCTAGTTTCTTTTACCTTCAATTCATCCTACCTACTAACTGGCCAGGATGATTTCCTTAAAACATCATTGTTGCCTGGCCGGTGTGACTCAGTGGTTGAATGTTGACCCATGCACCAAGATTCCCAGTCAGGGCACATGTCCAGGTTGCTGGCTCAATCCCCAGTAGGGGGTGTGCAGGAGGCAGCCGATTGTTGCCAATGTTTCTCTCTCATAGATGTTTCCATCTCTCTCTCCCTCTCCCTTCCTCTCTCTCAAAACTCAATAAAAACATATTTTTAAAAATAATTGTTTGTTCCTTCATTGTCTACCAACTACCCCCAAACTAGCCAACCTCTTTGAGGTAGTGTCCAAAGTTTTCCAGGAACTGGCCCTTATCTCAAGCAGGAATTCCCCCATTTCCCCACCAAGGTGAGACTCCTTATAGTCTTTAAAAGCCCAGTTTCATTTCTGACTTTGTGTCTTTGCCCAGGGTGTTTCCCCTTTTAGATTACCCTTCAGGCTTTGTTTCTTCACCTATAACTTACCACACTTGAAGTTCTCAAACTTAATTGTGCATAAGAGTCATCTTGGGGAGCATTTCAGAGTTTGCTCCCCAGCATATGTTATCAGATTGGCTCAAATAAACTCTTATAAAAATTCTCTAACAACGACAGCAACAACAAAAAGCATCACCTGGGGCGCCAATTAAATATGGACATTCTGATTCTGTAGGGCTGGGGTAGGGCCCAGGGGAACCTGCCTTTTTGTCAAGTACTCAGGTGATTCCTGGATCAGATTCCACTTGGAGAAGTGCTGCTTTAAGTAGAAACTTAGTTATAAACATTTCCTTTATTACTGCAGCCTTGAATCATCACCTGTATCATTTATAATCTGTTTGAATTGTGATCACTTAACTATGTAACCAGTTTATAATTATTTAACTTATAAGCAACCAGCAGGTTGCAAAGCAGACTTCAAATACAACATTTTGGCTTTGGCCCTTGTGTCTGTGAGGGGAACTATTCAAAGATTCCCAAATCAGGAAGGTGAGGAGTGAAGATTTAAGAGGCGGCCAGTTTGGCTCAGTGGTTAGAGCGTTGGCCTGCGGTCCGGAGAGACCCGGGTTCGGTTCCCGCTAAGGGCATGTACTTCGGTTGCAGTTTGTCCCCGGCCCTGGTGGGTCGTGCGGGTGGCAGCCACTCGATGTGTCCCTTCACGTCGATGTTTCTCTCTCTCTCTCCTTCCTCTCTCTCCCTCCCACTCTATCTGTACAAAAAATGGAAAAATATCCTCGGGTGAGGATAAAAACAAACAAACAAAAAAAACAAAACAAAACAAAAAAACCTCACTTCTTTGCCCTGGCCGGTTTGGCTCAGCGGTTAGAGCGTCGGCCTGCGGTCCTGAGAGACCCGGGTTCGGTTCCCGCTAAGGGCACGTACCTCGGTTGCAGTTTGTCCCTGGCTCTGGTCAGTCGTGCGGGTGGCAGCCACTCGATGTGTCCCTTTCACATCCATGTTTCTCTCTCTCTCTCTCTCTCTCTCTGTTCCTCTCTCTCCCTCCCACTCTACCTGAACAAAAAAAAAAAGATTTAAGAGGCAAGATTAGCGAGTTTCTAGTGTCCCCCAAGTCATAGCATTTCTATCAAAGGAGTGACCATTCCTTTGGTCAGGGTGGGGGTGGGGGGGATGGGGGATGTATTTCTTCTATAGTAAGTTGCAGTTTCCCAGAGAGACAGTTATAAATAAAATAGAGGGAAAGTACACTCAGAGTGCCAAACAACTGACTTGCATATATGTTTGGAACACAGTGTTTCGGAAGCTGGCAAAATTGGTCAGCCTTGCTCTGTTACTGTTACACTTCCTAGAAGTGTCTCCTTTTCACTTCTCATTCTTTATTTTTAAAATTTTCAAACCCATAGAACAGTTAAAAGAAGAATATAATGCATATCAGGATGTCTTTCAGCTGGATTTCCAATGACTAAAAACACTTTGCCAAGTCTGCTTTGCTTGTGTGTGTGTGCTGAACCTTTTTAAAGTAGCACGTTAAATACATCAGC